ATGGGCGTATCAACAGACTTTGAATTCATCAACCCAGTTTCCTCCAAAATATCCATGGCATACTTCCTCTGAGATATAACAATACCATCATTGGACTGTGCCACCTCAATACCCAAGAAATATCTAAGTTTGTCAAGATCTTTGGTCTGAAAATGGTGACAGAGATGTTGTTTCAACTGAGAGATTCCATGGTTGTCACTACCTGTAAGAACGATGTCATCAACATATACTATCAAGTAAACACATCCAGCACTTGAGTGTCGATAAAAGACAGAGTGATCTGCTTCACACTGAGTCATACCAAATTGTTGAACAACGTTGCTAAACTTTCCAAACCAGGCCCTAGGAGACTGTTTTAGGCCATATAGGGATTTGCGAAGACGACATACCATCCCAGAAGACTCCCCCTGAGCAACAAACCCAGGAGGTTGCTCCATATAGATTTCTTCTTTTTGTGATCTTGTAAACCCTAAGAAAACACATTTATGTGATCTAGGAGAAAGCTTGTCAAGATCAGAACTAAAATTATGAACAAAACATGTAGACCCAAAAACTTTTAGAGGTAAGGGATGAAGTGGTTCATGAGGGAATAAAATGGAATGAGGTATTTTGTTATCTAGAACCGAAGATGGCATGCGATTAACAAGATAACATGCAGTAAGAAGAGCATCACCCCAAAAATGTTGAGGAACCTCTCCATGAATTAAAAGAGTGCGAGTTGTTTCAATAAAATGTCTATTTTTACGTTCAGCTACACCATTTTGTTGAGGTGTATAAGCACAAGAAGTTTTATGCAAAATACCATGAGAAGCCATGAATTATTTAAAAGAATGAGAAAGATATTCACGACCATTATCATTGCGCAAAACTCTAATAGAAGAAGGAGGATCCTTAGCAGATAAAGGTGGGGAATGATCAGTCTGAGCAACTGTAGCAGATCGAGTAGGACGACCATGTAATGCATAACACTTGTCAATCTTGTGACCTAGTTTGCCACAATGTTCACACTCATGTAATGCATAACACTGACCAATCTTGTGACCTAGCTTGCCACAATGTTCACACTTAGGACGCCCTTTTCCCTGTTTGCGAGGGCGAGTTCGGTCATCACGGTGAGATACCAATGCAAAAGAATCATTAACAGAAGCAGGTGTGTCAGGGTTGTGTTTTGCTGGTATATGCAAAAGAGTGGAGCATGTCGATGTCAAGGTGGGGACAACCGGAGAACCCAAAATCTGATCACGAATATGTGAACATTGATCAGCAAGTCCGTGTAATGCCCCTAGCATGAAGAACTTTGATCGTTGTCCTATCTCGGTGGCAGGGTCTGGGGAAGGAGGCAATAACTCATTGAACTCATGAAAAAGAGCATGAATTTTGCCTATATAATCAGTCATAGAATCTTGATGTTTAGAGGCAATAACATCTACAAATTTAGAACAAACATCATAGAGACGTTGAGTATCATTGGTGTATAATAACTTGGCATGTTCCCAGATTTTGGCACATGTTTCGTAGGAATGAAAAATTTGTTTTAACGAAGAATCAAGAGTACCCTTGAGAACCACGCATAGCGGTCTTCCTCACTAGGAGTGAGAGTAGGTGCTTTCGGGGCAAGATGATCAAGATACTTCTAACTCTTAAGCCATAATCTGACGTCTCATGACTATGTGGCATAATTAGGGCCAGTTAACTTGTCAATGGATAAGTGCACATTAACATAGTTAGTGTAGATGGAAGGATCAGACGCAATATTGACAGAATTGGAAGTACTAAAAGGAGCGGAAGAAGTCATAAAGGGCGGAGGTGATAGTGACAACGGCGTGAACCAATACATCAAGTAAGTTCCCAGGAAAGAGAGGTGGGTCACTAATGGACACGCTTAAATATCAAGTCTTTCCTTGTCAGAACTTTCCTAGACATGCACTTTCACACTACCAAATAACCGATAGCAATAACGACGGTGGTGGTGGCTTCAATAGTGGTCAAAGGCGAAAAAAAAAATTCAAAATAACCTTAAGCTCTAGATACCATGTTGAATATAGAAGAAATAGAGTTTGAGATTAATCTCCCTTGTGTATAAATCACACATAGGGTAGTCTATTTATAGTAGAGAGATACAATTAAAAGAGTAACTGAAAGTAACAGAATAAACAGAAGATATTGTTTGATATTGTGGTTAATATCTAACAATATCTTAACAAAATTAAATAATATCTAAACAATATCTAACAATATAAAAATAAAAGGGTTAAGTATGTTTTTAGTCTCTATACTTTCATGTGAAATTGAAAATAGTCCCTGTCATAGTTCACATAAAAATGATCCCTATACTTTTGAAATGATTGAAATAAGTCCCTATTTTAAACGACATTAAGGATATGATGACCTGTTTAGCAAAAATGGTATGAATCATTCATTAGTTGACTAGTGTAATTATTTAAAAAAATAAAATTAAAAGGTGTCAAGCTTTTAAAAGTCATTTAAATACGCATTTATAACATTTAAAAGTCATTTAAAAAGAAATTTAAACTTATCTGTCATTTATAAGCCATTTAAACTTTTATACCTTAATTTTTGGAAATGAAAACCCTTGCTATGGTATACTACAGTCGCACGCCATCTAGTTGTGCACCATTGTTGCACTGCCAATCGAATCACAACGAATCAATGAAACTCTCGAACTTCAAAGTCACTTTGACTTCATACAACCTTTACAGAGAAAGAGAAAGAAAGAAAATGCCTTTGGTGTGTGACGAGAAAGAAGAAAGAACGAAAAGTAACTGTGACGAGAAAAGAAGAGAAAATGAAAAGTGGTTGTGACGAGAATCGAAGAGCTTTGGTGCGTGAGGAGAAAAGAAAAACTTCTACTTTTTAATTTTGCTTTTTTTAAAATAATAATATCTATTGAATAATTTCTATTTTTTTAAAAAAAGAACTTTGTTTTTTTTTAATAATTATACGTGTCAAATAATGAATGAGTCATACTATCTCTCGTTAGACAAGTCACCATATATGTAATATTGTTTAAAATAGGGATCTATTCCAATCATTTAAAAAATATAAGGATCATTTTTATGTGAACTTTGATAAAAAGACCATTTCCAATTTTATATAAAAGTATAAAGACTAAAATCATACTTAACCTAAAATAAAATGAAAACCTATCTTTAATCATCACCATATTCTTCTATGACCTTAAACTAATATATTTACACTTTTCTAAAGTAGAGTATTTTTTTAAAATAATTCAAATTATTTTTCATATTATAATAATTTGTCTTTGTCATCGTAATGAGATAATTAACTAATAGAAGTCCCGTTTAGAAAATGTTGTGAAATTTGAATTGCAATGATGGCACATACAAGTTTGGGCTTGCTAGACTAGCTCCAAGGGATTAAATGTAAAGCTTAACATTAAACAAAAAGTTGGTGGAACAAAAGATAGACCTTTGCTTTCTAATGCGCTCCTTCTATAATTAAATTTATTTATTTATTTATTGACCCACCAATTCAATTTAAAGATTTAGTCTTTGTGTGGATGAGATCGTTTGAAAAAAAAAATCATAAATATAATTCCTTCTATTTTAGTTGGAATTAAGCAAACTAACCATAAACCATTCCAATCATCTCCTTCTTGTTACAAGTTACAAACATAACACTTATGAGATGAATGTTCCATATGCAATGCATGCACATGAAATGTACGTGTGATGGCATAATCGATGTTGATGCATCTAATAAAGAAAGGAGGGAGAAGTTAGTGAAACTTTAATGTCAAAACTGAAACGTAGTTATGGATAAGGCGGCAACACCAAACCATGGACGAAGGGCCACATGTAAACTCATGGATTACTATTACTCAGACTCAATTTTTTTAAGCAATACAAAACTATTTTTTTTATAAGATTTACAAATTAATTAGATTTTTTAAGAAGGAACGAAGAATTGGTTTGTTGAGTATGTTGCTTGCAATAGCTTAATTATAACTGCCACAAAGTAATAGTTCAAGAAATGTTGGCACAATCAAAAAGGCATTTTTATTATGTTTTACCTCTATTATTTAATTAATTAATTAATTATTATTTTATATATATTTAAATAACTAATTATTATATTAAAAGGGAAGAAATTCAATAACATTATCTATTACCAGTGAAAACACAAATGTTATATATCTACATTTTTTATAATTATTTATTTTAATTATTAGATTACAAAATGTGTGATAAAAAAATTAAGTTGTAGTAATTACTCTTTTTTCAGTAGATGATACCTCTATGATCTATATATATTTGAAGCTATTTAAATTAGTTATTGTTTTTTTTAACTATTTATTAGAGTTTTTTATGCTCCACATTATTAGCCAAGATATAAAGACAAACTTGAGCGGCAAAAAAGAGAAAATAATATTGGAAGAAGTATGTTTGTTTCCTTAGAAGGCAACTTTATAAACAAAAGAGTGTTGATTTTCAGTATAAGGTAATTTTCTTATTTTTAGTACGCAACAAGTTTATTGTAAATTCAACAACCTAAGGACGGCACCATTACCATTTCAAAATCAAGACTTCTCTGTTCTCTTGTTCATAGATCAAAGCACACCCATTTCTTAAAAAATTTAACAATTTTCTCCCTCAACATTCATCAAATCATTATTGATCTCCTATACTCCTACGTCAAGTCAAAAAAATACCTTCATAAACCCCCCTTTAAACTCCACCCCATTTTTCACCAAACATTTCCGAAAAAGACTCACATTTGCAATCCCACCTTCCTCTCCAAGGACACTAATTTAGTTCATCACTTTATCTACTTTGTACCTCACTCTGCTAAATCTCAGCACAAAGTTAGTTTGAAAAGGAATCCTACCAACACCCCCATTTACCTTTCACTTTTGTTCATTCTCATACCTCAAAGAAAGCAAAAACAGAGTCCTCTGTTTTCTTTTCTCCCTCTATATATTACCCTTCTTTGTTTATGTTAACTAACTTACGAGGTTCATGTCTTCCACTAAGAAAAGTCTTCTTAGAACCGTGTTTACAGCAAACGGAAGCTGTGGTTGCAGCAAAACAAAATCCTCTCAAGTGCATGACCCAACCCCAAAACCCAAAACCTCCCACACTCACCAAAAACCAAACAACCTTAGCAGCATGGCCTCTTCGACCACTTCCATGGAACACATTGATGAAGAAGAGTTCACCTCTACCACACTATCCGAATCCGAGACACTTCATGATCACAACAATCTCAACAATGTTGTACTCAAACGAAGCCCTCTTGTGGACAGTGTGGCAGTTGAGAAGGACTCTTCCAACCCATATCATGATTTCAGACACTCCATGCTCCAAATGATCTTTGAGAGAGAGATCGAGTCAGAGGACGATCTTCAAGATCTTCTGCAATGCTTTCTTCACCTGAATGCACCATGTCACCACCATGTCATCGTGAAAGCCTTCAGTGCCATCTGCGAAGAAGCGTTTCCTCGCAAGGCTATTACCACTCCCGCCGCGTCTGAACCTTCTCCCTCTCGCCGGAGCCCCCTCGCCGTTCGAAAGAGCAAGTGAACATGGCGACACCAGAAAGAGAAGAGTCAATCTAGACCATACAATCATATAGGGACCAATTTAGATTAAAAGTTATTTAATAATTACATAAACCATGTTTGGATACAAAAATGAAAGTGTTTCTGAAACTTTCTACTTGGAAAACACAATCTTTTTCAGTGTAAGTACTCCCAGAAACACTTTTAACTTTGTATCTAACTTTGTATCCAATCGAGTTCATAGTTACATAAGAAAGTTGCTTGATTTGCGATTTAATCTCAACCTTTTATGATTTTTAAGTTAATGATGATGATGATTTATTCTTCTGACTTATTCACGGTCATGTTGATATTATATTGTGTTCATTGATGGAGTTTATTTGTTTGTGGTTACATAAGTTTTGCATCATGGCCATGGAAGCTAATTCTAAGATAGGCCACACATGTGTCTAGGCCATGTGCAGGCATTGAATTCACTCGTGGGAAGAAGATGCATGTAAACATCATGGTTTTAATTTTGGCTCCTTATTCATTCTTTCATAAGTAATGCATGAAATAAGTATGTGGGGTTGAAGTTGGGGCTAGTTGATGAATCGCAAGTGGTTGTATCAGTTTAAAAGTGATCATGGTTTGATTGTTATTTTCTTCTTCTGTTTGTATCATACTTCTGGTTTAACCGACTAATTAATGGATAAAAGTGCAGTGCAATGTACTATAAATTTATTATATTTAAGTTTTCTTTACAACTACATTGATAAATAAACCTGATTCATAGATTATAATTGTGGTATTTATTTTTGAAAAGTAATTAATAGTTAGTTAAACTATCTAATCTAGTAGCGTAAGAGGATGGATATGGAGCTTAGATTTGATAGTTTCAAATGGAGAGTGTTAATTATAATTTCTCACCTGCAACTACAAATACCGAACCTTAAACAAACACTGTACCTTTAATTATATCTTTTGAGTGAAGAAAACATTATTAGAAGATGGGTTGATTCGATTAGGACAACATTAACGAAGCTTCCTGGTTTCCTCCTACATAACACTTTTCTGAAACTTGGATTCTGGAATCTCATGAATATCAAGTTTTATATACGTGGTTTTAGGTTGCCTTATATTTAAAATAGTTTATCAAGATATTTTATTAAAAAATTAGGATAATTTCTCTAAAATTTAAAGTTTACCAAACATGAACATAATCACAACAAGAAAATGTCTTGGAAAAGTATTTGATTCGTCTCCACTTTGTTATAATTTTCATCTAGATAATCTATAATAATAGCATTATGTATTATACTAAGAAATAACTTTGTTGGTATGTATAAAAAAATAACATGTTAGAGATTGTTAAATGTCCTTAAATTTAGGGATATTTATCTATTTCTTTAGTTTTTGTATAAAATGTTTTTAATTTTCATCTTAGTCTTCTAAAAAGTTATTTGTTTTATATTCCTATTCAACTCTTTTTTCTTTTCTTTTTTAACTTACCATTTCCTAATGGCATGACAAACATAAGTTAGAAAATGGGTATGATATTTCATATAAAAGAAATAACTAAAATAAAATATTGATAATAGAGAGTAACATAAGTTAGAAATGTGTGTAATATTACCTAAATATGAAATTATGTAAAGTAAAATTATTGTAATATGAGAAGGCCTTATAGATACTAAAACAAATGAAGTATAAATTGAGTGTATTACAGAGTAAAAAAAATACACATAAACAGATGAAAATTTAAAGAATAAAAAAAATCATCTTATCATTAATTTATTATTTCATACTTTCAACATGTAATGATAATGTCTATTTTAATTATTTTTTTTAGAGGTAATATAGTAAAATATTATAAAAAGAGAAAAAAAAATGGGGTGACCAAAACCCATAATACAAAAGTCAATTAAATCTAAATTCTGGTAAACCAATTAGGTTTCTAAAAAAATCATTCTAATGTTATCAAGTAAATTATTGTATCAAGTAAAGTCAAACATAGTATCAATATTAATGTTGAGAAGGTTATTTGCACACTTATTACATTCTCATAGTTATATGCTAAGTATAAAGTTAACTATTTTAGTTTAGTTATGCAGTGAATCCAAAGGTTTCTCAGGCGTCAATGAACAATGTCAAACTTCTTAATAACATTAATAATTGTCACTAAATCATTTTTCTACCACAAACTGCTCCAACCTTTATCAATAGCATACTCAATAACAGTACCATTTATGTTGCATTTGATGTAGTAGGCCTTAGTCAAAGTCGTTGGCAAATTTTTGTGAATCTTCTACAACGAGTATCAATGCTGAAATATTTAAGTATTATAATTTCCTCTATTATGTTTTTCATAACTCCATTTTTTAAGATTATAAGTATGTGCAAATTAAGTTTAATGCTGTTAATAATAGTCTGAATTGAAAATAGTTTCAATATTTGTTATAGTTTCTCAATTTTCACATCATCCAAACAATGTTAATGAAGACAATAAGCTTAGTATCTTTTATTTATAAGTTAAATTCATGTAGAAAAGTTCAAGAGATTATTAAGAGATAACATGTCCATACAATATTTGAAAATAAAATAAAATATTAATTATTTAACTTCTTCAATAAAAATTATATTAATAAAGATTTCAGAATTTGATGTTTTTCATTAATATATGACTTGTTTTAGTGTGTGACTAAAATTTGATAGAATTATACAATAATTTTCTTTTTAATTTCAGAGAATATATGTTTATTGAATAAATATTTTTTTAATAATGATTTTCTTTTATTTTATTCATAATCTAAGAAACAAAATACTTAAAAGTGAAAATACTTTGTTAAAGAACGGGTGTGAGAATCACAACAAATTTATTAGATATTATTTGGATGAACAATCTCATGCAAAAACATAATACCTTGTGTGTTAATACCTTCTATCTTATCACTCTAATTATGTCTAATAAAAATTTGTAAATTGGAAACATTAACATATTAGATAAGGAGATTAGGACACTTCAATCCTAAATAGTGAAAACTAAGACATTCATTGTTTTAATCTCCACACCTAGATAGAGAGAACTAAGACGTTGATTATTTTAATCTTAGACATGAGATACTTGTTCTTGTATATAAAAAAAATAATTTTTTTTCTTACCCCATTGATATCTAAATAAATTTGTTATGATTGGAACAATTGTTGGATACTTTTTATTTCATTAATAAATTTTTAATCAGATTTTATTTTTAGAAAAAATCACTACATTTTACCACTTTAAACATTACGACAATGTTCCGCCAATTTCTAACAAAAACTTAAAATATATTTTGTAACAAATGAAAGAGATAGGAAGATAAAAAAGAAGAAGATAATATGATGTAATAAAAGTAGATAAAGACAGAAATGAATTATTACAGAATATTATTAAATTTATTTTAAATGCAATACTTTTCATTACTGGAATGTAATGGGAATAGTGAAGCTGCGGTGACTGATTCAATGAGGTGTTTGATCATGGTTGGGTAACCTTCACCTTCATATCATTACCTGGTTTGAATGTTCAAACATGCAATAGAAATTAAGCACATGAAACTTGCACATTTCGGATTATATATATTTAGGAATGTCTACTTCACTAAACTAAGGTTAAATTGTGTCTGGCGGCCAATAAATAAATATTTTATGCATTTTTCCTTTTTTCAGATTTCGAGGTCCAAACGTTCCAGGTGTTAGTTGATGACTTTTTTCTTATTTTTTTTTTTCATTTTTACCTATCACTATCATTGATGTTTGTATACACACGTTGGTTTCTTTTTGTCACAAATTTTTTATTCAAAGAAAAAGTGATCCGATACCATAGGGTAACATCATGTATATTTCTGCTAATTAATCAATCATTGGACAATACGATTTTAAAAACATGATAAGTTTAACAATTTAACTTTTTAAGGTGAAGGTCAACCACCAAGTTTGTATTGGATTGAATCCTTTGGAAAATTAATTCATTCTTATGGAACCAAATAGATGATAAGGTTGCAGGTTGCAAACTAGATCAGCATCTACATTCTGTTAGCTGTATCATAAAAATCTGCTTAGGTAGATGGGGGTGTGAATTTGTAAGAGAGAGAAAATAAAAAAGTGTGAAGGGTAATTGTTTGAATTGGTGTAAGAAAATAAGAAAAAAATAATAAAAAATTTGTCAAAATAAAGTTAATTTGATTAATTAAAAAAATAAATAATAAAATAAAGTTACAAATAATCAAAATACTTTTATTATAAATTTTAATTAAAATAAATATAAAATTGTAAAATAATAAATTTTAATTATAATATAATTTAAAAATTTGTTTATTTTATAAAATTATTATTATTTTCTCTTATTATCACGGAAACAATTTTTATTATATTTTTTACTGTATATAATTTTGGATTTCTTTTCCACAGTCATAAACTGTCTTTTTTCAATTTTCTTCTCAGTGAACCAAACACATCATAAAGGAATAATTTTTACTTAAATTATCAAAATGAATTACTTTTAAAATATTATGAATTTAGATAAATCATGTAACTTCAAATTAACCCCTTGGAGTTATTTTTGCCGCATTGTTCACTTAGTTAAGGTGTTGGATAAAATTATTTGGCAGAGCTTGGTAGAACCATGCCCACCTATAGCAAGATCAATACACTAACTATCAAAACACAGCTCCTTAAGTCATATGGACCTAACATTGCATTTATATCAATTGGTAATGCCCACCCATACAACTTAAAAAAGCCACTTCAGAATCCATAACCAAAAGAAAATGCATTTTAAATGTGCAAGGCATCTCCTAAGTTAGCTACATTGGTTTCCCACTCTACGAAGCCAGTGTGTGATTAAAGCTTTTTAACTCCACAAATAAAAAAAAGGGCTGGGGATGGGGATGGTAAGAATACCTGGACACCTAACCACTTCGACCACCAAACTCATGGCCTGAATGGAAACCATGATTTAATCCTCCGTCATGAACAGCAACTATAAGCAGCATCAGCAGCCAATAACAAATGGTGGAGCAATACCTCTTCACACCATTCTTTAAGCACATCTTTGACTCGTTTAATCCAACTGCACTAAGTGTCTTGACAATGGCACTGGAAACCAGATTAATAATGTTCCAAACATCTGCAACAAATATCTGCAGCCAAATCATCAGAGAGAAGATTCAATAATCCATTAATGGATATCAGAAAAAGAAGCAAAACTGGTAGTACTGATTTAAAGAATAGGAGAGAAAATAAATTCCAATTAAAAATAAACCGAAGTTACAAGTTGCAAAGTTCAAGGAAGTAAGGGGTCCAACACAAGCATTACACAAAAGCATATACATATTATGCCAACTAGTCTCGTATCTGAGTCCATGAAATGAAACTAGGAATTCTTTAAAGGAACCTGAAAAGTAACTTCAGAGCCCGCTGTTACAATCAGAAGATTCTTTGGCTCAAACATAAATATTCTTAAGATCATAAAACAATCACAAGTATATTTGCTCAGTGCCACAACCATTTTTGAAATAAGTGATAATCAAATAAACGATTAGAAACCTGCAGGTATGAATATACACAGAACATATCTTGAAATAGCAACACCAATGACCTTTTAATCAAATTTAACTTACCAATAGCTAATATCATATCCTTTTAATCAAAAGATTAGGGTCCTGAAACAATGGCATGTTGGTGGAATTTTTTTACAAGAACTGAATCCAGAATTAAGTGCGAAAAGCAATCAATGAATATATGTAAAATGCACGGAGTTTACAACTATTTATATTTATCAAGTCATGAGAAGAATTCCATCAAAATGTAGGAACAAAGAAATAATTATATCAACAAAAAATCCAAATCACAATCTACTTACAGCCACAAGCACCCTTGGATTCTGTGAACTCAACTAAGCAACACCAATTTGCAATTATATCTCTCGCAATAGCCAATAGTAGACTGAAACCAATGAAACAAGTAAACACAATTTCCATTAGCAGCAGCAAGTTTTCTTCAGATGACGTTCACAAACATCATAATAAATTAGGAGGAGGTAACTCTCATTCCATCACGGGCTAGTTCCTTCACCTATTATTGACAAATGAGAACACAATCATTAAGGCACAAGAGAAAATACGGGAAGGGAACAAAACAAAGGTGAAATTGAGCATAAACTCACCTTCAATCGCAATGCTCTTGTTCCTGTGTTCAACATATGACATCACGCGAGAATCTGCCATGGCTGATAAATAAAAACCAATCCGTTAGAGAATAATATTCACCACTTTGCGTAACACTGTAATTTACTTGATTGTCAAGTTTTCATTAATTGATGACCTCTCATATGCCATTATAATACCTTGCTTAACACTGTAATTTGCTTAGTTGTTAAGTTTTACTTAATATTCAAGCCAGCCATATTTAAGACCTTCAACAAACAAACGTATCAATCATAAAATTATGTTTCCATGCACCATACATGTTAATGACATTAAGATTCAGATAAAACGAAACAAAACAAAGCAAGATCATCCAACAAATAAATAATCAATCAATTGAATTTTCATTATTTATGATTTATAAATTTGTAATTAACATAGAACTTCTAGTCCAAACAACACACCAGCATGTTTTTGGTGTTCATCTTTGACAAAATAAATATCCACAATCTTCTGGAAGGCGTGCCAGGTCAGCAAGCTGTCTGACCCAGCCTGATGGCACTTCCCTACGGCGCGGTCCACGTTAAGGGTCCGTGCAACCCGGTCCAAACCACCGTATAGTGTATCACAGAACCTCATCATGTGCTTCACATCATAAACCTTATCTCCAAAAAACACTTTCACAACGCTTAAAAATTCCTCCAACCGGGTCGGTAAATCCCTTCGGGTCAGTATCTTAACCAAGTACCCGAAATCGTACGCGCTGTGAAACGTGACCCAGCTCACGGCGTCGTTGCACACGAGTCCCGAGGACATCATCAGCTCAGCGAAGCGCGTGGAGTCTACGCCGACGGCCGCGTTGCGTTCGAAGTCGATCCCCTGGCAGCGGAGGAGCGCAATGGAGTCCGGCGCGTAGGCGTCACGCGCCACGTCGAAATCCCGGAAGTTGAATTCCCAGATGAAGCGGTTCCCGTCGGCGCCGGGGAGATTCCCGGCGGAATCGGAGAGCGTGAGGCCGACCTGGATGAGGTTGAGCGCGTCGACGTTGGACTTGAGGAGGCGGTAGTGGTCAGCGGGGCGGCGCGTGCGGTGGTTGTAGGGTTTGGAAGGGTCCACATGGGGCCGGAAAACCACACCGGGGAATTCGGTGTCCATGGAGATGAAAGGATAGCGATCGATGAGTTCGCGGATGAGTTGGAATTCGGATTCTAAATTGGAAGCCCAAACTTCACGGATGACGATCGGATCTTCGCTGAGCACGCCCATAGTTCGGTCTGACGGTTGGAGTCACGGTGGAGTTGAGAACGTGTGTGTTTGTTAAACTGTGGGACGTTTTGGAAGTGGGTTTTAGTTTTTGGTGAGGAGAATGCGGTGAGTGAGGGTTTTATATGAGTTGGGGAGAAGAAGAGGAAGATGTTGCGTGGAAAGTGGTTTTTGGATTAAAGAAAGAGGAGTGTGTGTAAGTTGAGTGTGGAAATGCGTGAATGTAGCACAAAAGCGTCAAGGTTCAACGCGTGAGCAACCTTGACTAAACAAGCTAACCGATGCTGAGTCAATTCCAGACTTGGTCAGATTAGGCACCTCATTTTTTTTTTTTATTATCATTATTTTCTTCTATGCTCTGTTTGGATTACAGCTAAAAGTCATTGTCATGTCAACCAAAAGAAAAGTTACCCTCTGTGGAGTATATGAACGTGGACACAAATTTCAGCATTTTTTTGGTGTGTTCAAAATTTCTTTCCTTTTTTTTATTTTCAAATGGTTTTATACAGTACATAGATTTTCTTATCGTTCTAGACAATATCTCTTCCGCTAAAATCTAAAAGTTCGCATCTTTCTACGCGTGGGCTATTAAAATGTGTTATTATTTTAAAGGCTGACATTAGAGAATCAACGTGCATGATTAATTTTTACTTATTTTATCCAATTGAGGATAATTAAAGCTTCTTCTACAAAAACAATTACCATACATTACTCTATAGTTCTATATTGAAAAATATAATTTTATCATACATTTAATTTTACTTCAACGAAAAATATTCTAAAAAATTACTAGTAATTCATATCACATCATCATTTTGTAAATATAAATTTAATTTTGTTTTAATCATATAATATAAAATTTATATATAATTAGTTTTATAATATCTTTATCTTATACTAATTATTTTATTGTCTTTAAATTATGTTTAAAAATATTGATAAAACAGTTTTTTCATGTTATACTTTTCTTTTTTAATTATTATACAACTATCATAAATGAAAGTACATTATTTACTCAAAATTACGACATTTTGTATTTATTTTAATTTAACTAATCATTGTTTTCTCTTATCTCTATCATACGTACATTTTTAAAAGATATACTATATATATATATATATATATATATATATATATATATATATATATATATATATATATATATATATATTTGTTATTAATAAGAATAAAAATAATTAATTGATAAAAATATTAAAAATAATATAATAAAATGAATATTTTTTTCTATTTTATCCTAAATTAAATTGAATAACATATCTTTTATATGTATCATAGTGATAAAATACTTTTTAAATATATTCAATTCATTTTAGAATCAGTTTCTCTAAGAACATTAATTATTTTTATTTTATTAATTAATTTATTTATTTATTTATTTATTTCTCTTTGTTATTTATTTTTATTGATTTATCCAATTTTTGTATTTACAATTTTCATCTATAAATTTTTAACATAATATATATATATATATATATATATATATATATATATATATATATATATATATAATTTTTTATAAAAAATTTAAACTTTCAGAATTTTTTTCTAATTTTTTATAATATTTGATGAAATATTATCTATATCTACGTTTTATTTATTTGGACGCATTGTGATGTAATTTGTCTCCTTGCAAAAATTATAAATTTTAACTTATTTGTCTGATTATTTATTGTTTCTTGTCATTTTCTTTTTTTCAAACCAATCAATATTTCTACAAAACCATTATAAATATCGTAAATTAAAAATTTATTAAAGTCTATATTTGAACCAAAAATGTCATAATAACAATATATATATATATATATATATATATATATATATATATAACTTTTTTATTCATTTGCATCATTATAACGAAAAATAAAATAAAATAAAAAAATCATTGACACCTTTAATAACAAAAAATAAGAAAACTATGATATTATCTAAGTGTAGAATATGTTATTTCACTAAAATATGTCAAAATCATATTATTTTTAATTATTAATAAATATATTTTTTTCACTTTTTTCTTGCAAACTTATATAAGAATCAGAGAAAATAATAAAAATATAAATATAAGATAAAAAGGGAAAAAATTATTAAAAATATAAAATATAGAAATATGATTTTTTATTTTATTTTATATTTATGTGTACAAAAATTATTAATATTATTTATTTTTAATTAATGCATTTAGTTTTTATCTTAATTATTTGTTATATATTCTTTATGTATAACTAAAAATAATAATAATTAATGTTCTTGATGGTCTCTTCCCGTTTTAAAAAAAGTTCTTATATAGACACTCACATATAAAAAAATATATTAGACAATCTTATTTATTAGTATTATATTTATAAAATAATTTAATTTAAATAAAATAAATTAAAAATATTATTCTATTAATAAATAAAATTGTTGATTGGTTATTTGGTAAGAAAATAAAAAAGAAATGTTGTCTAGCAATATGTAGGATAAAATCACAGAAGTGTCATCACTTATAAGCCCATAATGGGCCTGGGCCTCTGTCTCAAGTTGATAGCACCAACACATTCATTCAATTTTCTAATAATAGTAAGCATTAATCACATATTTAAAATTCTATATTTATATTAACATCATCTCTATAAAATATTAACAGTGTGTATTATTATTATTATTATTTGTAATAATATTTAATAATAATTTTTTTCTTTGTTGTTTAATTATTATTCATTATATTTGTTTCGTCATATTTATAAATTTCATATTTTTTTTAAGAGTCAGGACTACAGATCATTTATATATATTATCGAGATCAATATATATCATCTTCATACGTTTTTCAAAAATAAAATTAAAACGAATCAATAATTTTAAAGCAAAAAGTACCTTTAAAAATAAAAATATTTTAAAATATTATCATCCACTTTGAAGAAAAATAATTTAAAATAATTTTTTTATATATTTAAATTAATTTATACACCTTTCTTAAAAATAAAAATTTGTAGGAAAAAACTTATCTTAACGGACTCATAATCTCGTAGCTTTTTTCGGAGTGAATTTATATTTACTGAAAGTTTAATTATATAATCCTCTTATCTCCCTCTTTTAATTTTGTGAAGAATTTATTCAAAGCTTAAATATATAACAAGAAGAACAAGACTGAACAAGAAAAGGTAATCCTCCATGCCAGAACTCAAATTTAAAGTCTCTTCCCATAATAACAACGTAAAATTTCACAAAAAGAAACGGAGAGGAAAATGACGATTCTGCTCTAAGTTAACTAAGAAAGGAAAACCTAACAACAAAAACAAGCTCTTTTTAGCGGAGTGGCTAATCGATCTTCTTATTGTTTTCTTCGTTGTTGAGGAAGTCGAGCAACACAGTACTCTTGCACTTGGGGCATTTGGGATCATTCTCGGACAACATAACATACATGAGGCACCGAGGACAACCTACGAGAAGCATGGCTCTTGTTTCTTGAGCTTCACAAGACACGCACGAGCTCTCCAAGGATTGGACAGAAACCTGCGATGAAGCCCAAGATTCCGACGACAGCTCCGAAGAAGATACCGAGGTCCCTGCCCTTGGAGGAGACAGGTTCAGCCTCAATTCCAACCTTGGACTCCTGGCTCTCTTGCTCATCTCTCTTCACAAATCACAGTTCCAAAATCTTTAACCTGAAGCAAAGTGGGGCTGTCTTCACTTTGAGCATATATATATACTATAGAGTGAAGTTAAAGGGAGAGGAAGGAATTGAAGAAAGAAGAAGGGTACAGAGGGAGGTGATTGATGGTAATTGAATGACAGATTTAATGGCGTGTAGAAGTGGAAGAGTGCAGAACTGAACAGAAGGTAAGATGAAAGAGGATACAAGAGAGAGTTATTATCTACACATATAGCAGGAGCAACAACTCCAGTGTCATGTATCGATGACAAACCTGCACCCTGCGCATGCACTTAACTTCTGAAATTGCACGTATATGATCCAAATAGATACTAGTTTTTTTATTTATTATTATTATAAAGTATACGTTTGAACAAATAATATTTCTTTTGAATGAAAGAACATTATAATCCCTGAAATAGAAAGATAGTGCCACATTAGTTTATGGATTGAAAAAAAAAAATCTTAAAAAATGCGAATAGATAAAATTTCGCTAAAAATAGTGAATTTAAGTTATTCGACAAATATTAAATTGTAAATGAAGTTAGTACATACTCTGTTTTTCAACAACATATTAAAACAAAACTTGAAGAGGTAGGTATAGAACAGGAAATGGAATGGTGAATATGGAACCCTAAGAACCCTCAAACTCTTGGAAAAAAAAGAAACTACGTCTAAAAATGGTCACCAACTCATCAGGAGAAAGAATTATGGTTGATTAAAACTGGTGAGGAAACAAGATACTTAATTATCTTCACCAGATTCCATTAACAACGTGATGTAGGTGCGTAATCAAACCAAACATTACCCAACCAATAAGACCATATTAGCTGAGATTTTCAAAATTAGTTGGTCTTCGCCATATTTATTGAATGATGGATAACATTGATTTGCATAACAAATTCGCCCAAGAGGATAAATAGGTACTTTATTTGTGTCATACAATCGAAGTAATTTTAGACATAATTTTACATTAAAGTTGAATATTTTCATGAAAAATTAAAACCCATCTTCTAATACATTCTTTCTAACATATTGGTTAAAATTTATTGAAATATATTAAAATAAAAACATCCATTAAAAATATGACCTTGCAACATAACAAATATGATTTCTAGAAAAATAATAGAGAGTTTGTTCAAAAGAGTATGTAACTATAAAATTTAACTTATTTGAAGATTTACTTTAACTGTTTTACAAAAAAGGTAAATGCACCTAACATTTAAGTTATTAGTTAAATAACTAAAAACGATTTTATTTTAATTGTGATGTGTAAAGATGCATCCTCCCATATATAATTTATAATGCCTACCCACATAATTTCAAAGGAAAATTGTATCCTTTTAAATTATTTAATCAGTATCTTGAGAATTGGCTAGAAAAAACCTAAAAAAGTGCTTTACTATTTTATGAGAAGTTTATTTTTGTACCTTAATGTTCTAAAGAAAAACATGTAGCATTTGGTCTTTATAATATTTTACTTTATTTTCTATCTACCAAGTTTGAAATCATTATTTTTAATCTAATAAAATGTGTGAATTTTTATTTTAGTTATGAAATATTATCATTTAATTTATATTATTCTAAAATTTTAAATTATTATTTCTAATCCTAATTAACATTCATATTAAAATAGATAAATAGTATACTCAATTAGCTTTAAAATATATGACTTTTATGGAAAAAAATATTTTTAAATATATGATGTTAATAAAGTTTAAGGTTACATTAATTTTTTTATCAATTATATCATTATTTTTTAATTATATTTATTACATAGAGAAAAATAATAAGTTATTTATGAGTATTTTGGTAAGAACAAATACTAAGATGATAAATGTATTAATAGTGTTGAATATAGAAGAAATAGAGTTTGGGATTAATCTCTCTTGTGTATAAATCACACACGGGTAGTCTATTTATAGTGAGAGATACAACTAAAAGAGTAACTGAAAGTAACAGAATAAACAGAAGATATTGTTTGATATTATGGTTAATATCTAACAATATCTTAACAATATTAAATAATATCTAACACTCCCCCTCAAGTTGGAGCATACAAATCGTATGTGCCAAGTTTGTTACAAATATAATCAATTCTAGGACCCCGTAAAGATTTGTAAAAATATCTGTTAACTGATCACTTGAGTTAACAAACTCAGTCTTGATGTCTCCAGACATAATCTTTTCTCGAATGAAATGACAGTCAATCTCAATGTGTTTGGTCCTTTCATGAAAGACATGATTAAAACTAATATGAAGAGCAGACTGATTGTCACACACAAGTGACATTTGAGTGACATCTCCAAATTGTAACTCTCTAAGCAATTGCTTGAGCCAAACAAGTTCACAAGCGAGCTGAGGTCATAGCTCTATATTCTGCTTCGCACTAGATCTTGCCACAACACTTTGTTTCTTACTTTTCCATGAGACCAAGTTACCACCAATGGAGACACAATATCCGGATGTAGATCTTCTATCCGAAGGAGATCCCGCCCAATCGACATCTCGAGTAACAAACAACTCTTGTATGGTTATTAGAATCATATAACAATCCTTTTCCAGGAGATCCTTTAATATACTTTAAGATACGAATGACTGCATTCCAATGATCTTCACATGGGGAATTAAGAAATTGGCTTACCACACTGACTGCAAAAGAAATGTCAGGACGAGTAACTGTAAGATAATTAAATTTTCCAACCAATCTTCTATACTGCTCAGGATCAGGTATAAGCTCCCCCTGATTTGGTAAAAGTTTAGTATTGGGATCCATGGGCGTATCAACAGACTTTGAATTCATCAACCCAGTTTCCTCTAAAATATCCATGGCATACTTCCTCTGAGATATAACAATACCATCATTGGATTGTGCCACCTCAATACCCAAGAAATATCTAAGTTTGTCAAGATCTTTGGTCTGAAAATGGTGACAGAGATGTTGTTTCAACTGAGAGATGCCATGGTTGTCACTACCTATAAGAACGATGTCATCAACATATACAATCAAGTAAACACATCCAGCACTTGAGTGTCGATAAAAGACAGAGTGATCTGCTTCACACTGAGTCATACCAAATTGTTGAACAACCTTACTAAACTTTCCAAACCAGGCCCTAGGAGACTGTTTTAGGCCATATAGGGATTTGCGAAGACAACATACCATCCCAGAAGACTCCCCCTGAGCAACAAACCCAGGAGGTTGCTCCATATAGATTTCTTCTTGCAAATCACCATTGAGGAAAGCATTTTTAACATCTAGTTGATAAAGAGACCATTGTTGAAGAGCGACCATGGCGATAAATAAACGAACAGAAGTCATATTTGTCACAGGGGAAAAGGTATCTCCATAATCCAACCCAAAAATTTGAGTATAACCTTTGGCCACAAGACGAGCTTTGAGGCGATCAATAGTACCATCAGGTCCAACTTTGATAACAAACACCCATCTGCAACTAACAACAGATTTCCCAGACGGTAACGAGACCAATTCCCAAGTTCCACTATTATGAAGAGCACTTAGTTCATCTAACATGGCCTGACGCCAACCAGGATGGGCTAAAACTTCACGGACAGTTTTTGGAATGGTCATAGAAGAAAGAGAGGAAAGACATGTATAAAAAGGTAATGACAATCGATGATAACTCAAACCAATATAATGAGGAGAGAGATTGCGTGTAGAACGGATACCTTTTCGGAGGGCAATGGGAAGGTCAAACTCAGGTGTCACATCCGAAGGAGACAGAGTAATTGGCACTTGAGTAGAGTCACATGGTGGTGGTTGTGATTGGTTTCGACAACTATAAACCTGAAGAGACAGTGAAGAAGAAGCTGACTGCGGAGTAGAATCTAATGGTGAAGAAGACACAGTTAGAGGGTCACAAACAACAGGAACATTAAATGTACTAGGAGTGTTGACAAGATTAGATGGAGACAGAGGTGAAGATTGACTTTTAAAATAAAAAGAGAATTCATCAAAGGTGACATCTGCAGACACAAAATAACGGTTAAGAGAAGGAGAAAAACATTTGTATCCTTTTTGTGATCTTGTAAACCCTAAGAAAACACATTTATGTGATCTAGGAGAAAGCTTGTCAAGACTAGAACTAAAATTATGAACAAAACATGTAGACCCAAAAACTTTTAGAGGTAAGGGATGAAGTGGTTCATGATAGAATAAAATGGAATGAGGTATTTTATTATTTGGAACCGAAGATGACATGCGATTAACAAGATAACACGCAGTAAGAAGAGCATCACCCCAAAAATGCTGAGGAACATCTCCATGAATTAAAAGAGTGCGAGTTGTTTCAATAAGATGTCTATTTTTACGTTCAGCTACACCATTTTGTTGAGGTGTATAAGCACAAGAAGTTTGATGCAAAATACCATGAGAAGCCATGAATTGTTTAAAAGAATGAGAAAGATATTCACGACCATTATCACTGCGCAAAACTCTAATAGAAACACCGAACTGAGTTTGAATTTCATTGAAAAAAGTTTGAAAGATATGAAATAATTCATAACGATTTTTCATCAAAAATAACCAAGTGCATCTGGAACAATCATCAATGAAAGTAACAAAGTATTGAAAACCTAAAGTAGACTTAACGCGGCTAGGTCCCCAAATGTCAGAGTGAACCACAGCAAAAGGGGACGAAGCACCACGTGTGACACTACGAGGAAAGGAAGTACGACTATGTTTGCCTAATTGACACGACTCACATGTCAAACTAGACAATTTAGATAAGGCAGGGACAAGTTGCTGTAACTTGGCAAGACTTTGATGACCTAACTGAGCATGGAGAAGAGAGGGAGACTCTATAACTGCACCAACATGTGTAAAGGGACGAAGATGATAAAGACCATGAGACTCACATCCCGTGCCAATCACACTGTTTCGAACTCCAGGTCCTGTAAACACATAAAATTGTTGGTAAAAGAAACAACACAATCAAGAGAACGAGTTAGACGACTC